CGTAAGTGTTTAAAATATTTATTATACAACTATTTACAAATATAAAATTAGAAAGAACTTTCAGTTTTTTACATGCATATACTAATCTAAACCACATTTTTTGTTGTGCTTTTTTTTTAAACATTGCACAGGCTACGTGGCCAACTTGATGGACCTCATCTTCGACCAAGTCTTTGTGGACCCTGCACCATTATGAGCGACCTGACAGGGACGAGGTCATCGCCGGGTATGCTACACGGTTCAATTTGGCTGCTGTCTGAACCCAACATCGACATTTTGCGGATCAGGAAACTCCTGCCTCCTTGAGGACAACGCAGACCGGAATCACCACTCTGATCCTGCGTCCAAGGAAGCCCCAGCACCAGCTCACAAAGCTTCTGTAGGCTAGATACCTGTGACGCCTGAAATCATTAAAAAAAATATTTAGTGTAATTTATACAAAATACAAGTACATTTCGTTTTTTTTTTATGGGTTCAAAGAACCGTTCATTTTGACAATAAAGTTCAGAGTTGATATCAAATGTGTCGTGATTATTCATGTTTGGATGGGTAAAGAATATTCTGATTTCAAAAGCATAAGGTTGTGTGTGGACTTTTTTTGTCGTACACATGGGTGTGTTATGCCATTGCTGTGTAATAATATATATATAATAGTACATGTACAATGAAAGATTGCATAAAGCCATATACACCAGTATTTATTTCCATGAACAATATTAGCATTCGTTTTACACTTTCAGTCAAAACAAACAAACCACTCACTGCTCTATTTGCCTCAACTGTAGTCCACCATGTTCAGCTCTGTAAATATTAAATGCATTCTGCAGGAAGAACACATTCAGGCACACAGGCTCCAATCCAGGATGGTCCACCACAGGTTATAGAGTCCTCAAGTTCCTGCATCCGTCTTGACACCTAGTGTGATAAAGATATATTGAATGACATGTTAAAAATGTATTCTCTAAACAGACAACTTAGTGAAGCTATCAAAAATGTTACCTGTGGTATCTCCATGCAGCACACATTCTCCGTTCAGAAGGCATCGTGGCGCAATTTGCACATGTACACCTGTAGAAAGAAGTCAATAACTGAGCTTTTAAAAACACATGAAACTACACACACTGCTGACAACTGAGGTGTTGTTGGAGTTATACTTTTTATCACCCTAAGTTATTGAACTTTCCAACGGTTGTTGCACGATGTTGGAAGAAAAGGACTAAACTATTAATAAACGCAATGAGGCCATTGTATATATGCTGAAAATATGAATGTCTCCCTTTATAAATATATATATGTATCGCTGTTTTTGCGTTACAAGCTCTAAGTTATAAACTGTACACATAGCATTCTTGCTAATTAGCCAAAATATGAACGGAATAAGTAGCACGCATCGTAACAGAGTAAAATAAATAGGAACAACAGCTTGTCAACTAACCATTCAGAAACGTCCTGCTGCAACCGAGATGTTTCCACCTCCACCAAAACCTCCGCTGCTTCAGGGTCAGTCTCTGGATCAAATTGATAATACGCTTGAACACATGCATTGCTCTGAGATGACATGTTTATTCCACACTCGTAATCACAGCAAGCATGTTAACGTGACTCTCACCGGCTCATGCCCCCCTCTTCTGCAGGGGGCGTGGTCAGCTGCTGCTCAGAATTTTCAAAGACAGGCTTGGAAAAGAGCGAAAATGAGCGAAACGAGGCATGGCTAAAAAATGATCTGTTTGGTATTTTGAAAAATAAAATGTATAAATATACCTTATATAGGTATGGTCATACACTATATCATTTAAATATAGCATGATAGGTCTCCTTTAAGGAAGCGGCTCTCTCTATGCTTTTGTTTTAACCGCAATCAAATCTCAAGGTGATACAAACATCAGGCTCATCATGGAGTGTATTTACAAAGAGTAGACAAAGTGGGTTATTTTAATGTAATTGTTCATCAGCAGTATGTTTTTAAAAGAGTCCTGGTAATCTGCATTTAGTCTGAGATGTTCAAAGCAAGATACAAATAACGGCGCTCTAAGGAGGAAAACAAATATGTTATTGAATACTGAGTAGCCTAAGTGCACAGATAACACACATCCTGCTGTTATTTAATTATGACGGGAAAATCATGACAAAACATGCACGCACAAATAAAATTAGATGAAAAACACCAACATTAATCACACGTAGAAAATACTCTGACCTTTTAAATCACACTAGACCTCAAATTGAAGCTTGTGCAGGAGCATGGTCGCACTGTTTTATCAAATTGCCAGCAGAGAGGTCTGAGGCGTCTCAGGATTTGTTTGCGATTGTTTTTCCTAGCTACTCTTGTCAACTCCAGCTGAACGTCAGAACAGCCGAAGCAGCTGTTGCCAAATCTCCCAAACAATTTGACCCTTGAACCAGCATCTGTCTGGAAATTACAGAGACAGGTTTTTAAATCGAAGATACCACTCTTTAAATGTAAATAAAGTTACTTGAATGTCGAATAATAGCATATCATCTTTTGATACACATAAATCCTAAAGCCTTGAAAGCTTTTTCTCTCTCTTTAAGAGTGTGACGCAGGAAAGGCTGGCACTCTCAAACAGCCTTCACAAATTTGTCAGCTGTCAAGATAAAGTCGGCCAGGAAATATTGGAGTCGTGGTCACAGTTTGGGATGAATCACCGGGCATGGTGGTTTACATGACAAGAATCATTTGCAGACACATTTTGTGGAAGTGTCCTTTGGTGTGTTTCATATTGGTGGTAAATATATCTCTTTCATCTTTGAGAATTCATGTATCTTCTCTTTCTACAGTGGCTTCAAGTACACTTGAACTAAGACATGAGAAACACCCAACAGGTTTTGTTCCACTGAACAACACCTGCTGAAGTCATGATTTTCTTAAATATAGGCTGACTGTCGAGCTAGAGGTTATACAACAGCCTTGCAATAAATGCTACGTCCATGAAGATAACACATCATTAAAATCCTCAAACTGTTCAACAGAGTAATTGATTAAGGTTAAATCAGCAGTACCATAGAATGGGTCTGTTGGAGTGTATTTGTATATTCATCCAAATGTATCAAGAAGAGAAGACTAAATATAAGACACCTCAATCAAATTAGCTCTACCTACGGTGTCTACCTATCCTACCCTACCTAACCCTTCAACAGAATGGTTTCCAATTGAAATCATTGTAGAAGATGGGTACTAGCAGTGGTGTAAAGTAACTAAGTACATTCACTCAACTACTGTACTTAAGTACTACATTACATTACATGTTAGCCGCTTTTATCCAAAGCGACTTACATACTCAATACTGTGGACAATCCCCACAGGAGCAATTTGGGGTGAAGTGTCCCAGGGACACAACGACATGCTGACTGCAGTGGGGTTTGAACCTGTGCTCCCCTGATCCGAACACCAACGCACTCATCCACACGCCTACTATTTTTGAAATACTTGTACTTTACTTGAGCATTATAATTTATTGCTACTTTGTACTTCTACTCAACTACAATTCAAAAGGTAAAAAGTGTACTTTTACTCCACTACATTTATTTGATACCTTTATTTACATTACAGATTTGGATTAACAATGTGAAATATAATCAACAATCAATAATACTTTAGTTACACCTGGAGTAAATTCACAAGCTACCCTGCAGTATACAAAGTCATTAAAACTAGCTGCACCTTCACCAGCTGTGATAAACACATTCATAATTCTAATCAAAACATACAATATATATTATTCTGAAATGGTCCAATCTGCATAATGAACACTTTCCCTTTTGGTACATAAAGTATATTATGATGCTAATTCTTGCAAACAACAAAACAAATACATTTAGTAACTTTGCATACTTGTAGACAGTAACAGCCTAATATGATTTAATCTGACAATATGTACATTTAGGGCGATAATGTAAATGAAATGTAATAAAGCTCAGTATTTTGACCAGCTATTCAAGGGACCAAGCTAGCCAAGAGGCGATGCTAACGTGTTACAGTTAGCTGGTTTAATCTGTACCAGTCCGTTTTTGTTACTCACATCGGCAAACCCTCCATACGTGGTCTTGTAGAAATCATCCTCTTCTTCAGCATCCAGTAATTTTGACAAGCGGTTTCCCGCAGTCTTCCTCTGCTCCCGGTCCACCGCGAGAGTCATGACTGTGATGTATAAACAATGGCAAAACACGCTTCGGTATCTAGCTAGCTAATGTTGAGATAACTATCGGTATAGGCTGTTTTTAGGGGACCGCTTTTACCTTTGGCTTACTCAATTATCTGTTCGTACCCATATTTATTTGAGTTATAAATACGCTTTATTTCACGCTAATAGGCCTAAAAAGTGCTCGTTATTACTGACCTGTAGTAAAACAAGCTAAGAACACAGCTAATGCTAACCACTAGGAATACCTAACCAATACATCCGGTGCAGTTGATGCACTTCCGGGCTACAATACAAAATAAAACTCCTCCCAATTCCATACAATTGGTACCTTCGTTTGTGTACAATTTGATCTTATATTGATTTTATATCTATTTATTTCATTCACAGAACAATTTGGCTCCGGTACATTTAGAATGGTGGACACATCCGATGTATGTTAGATACTGTTGTCATGGAGCCAGCAGAAAGGTAATCTATTGCCATAGCAACAGCATTATATGAACTTCACTGTGGCAGTGAATAGTCTTGGTATTCGGCTTGTTTCAACAAAATACAAATACAATTTTTTGTGTGCTCACTGCATACACAGTCCATAGCACTCTTCTAGTATTAGCACACCACTTAATTCCAACTCACAATCATACAGTACACTGGTGGTAAATCCCAAGGTGACACCTTATTAGGAAGGATAAACATTCAAACGCAAACAGAGCCATTTGGGGTTTAATAACCTGCCAAAGGATGTTACATGTATAGCAGGGACCAGGCAACCAGAGATCGAACCAACAACCCTCCGATTAAAGCCTAGGCTACAGGCTACAGTACAGCCACCCATTGGTGTTAATAGAAATGATTTATTCTGTTTGAAAGCACAACATCAGTGACACATCAACACGATAAAGTGCAGAGCTAAAGCTGGGAAATGTAAATTCATAAAAGTACAAATACAAATAATGCAAATGTACAAGGACTGCAGCCCGGGTACATATGCTATTAAGCAAATTAAAATCACTAAGGATGAAACAGCACAGGGAGAGGAGATGTATCATTTCTTTGTTCTCCTGTTGGGGGCCTATTACGACATCCTAAGGACAGAAGCTCAAACTCCTCGATGGTCCTGGCCGTCCCATATAGCATAAGCCCTTTAAGAATCTGCCTCTTATAAATGTATACGAACATTCTGGAAATATCACTCACTATATTCATGCTTTATTTCATATTAAGTTGGTGATTGATTTTTTTTACATTCATATTTTGTTTATTAAGAATTGTACAAAGCAAACATGATGCTTTAGGCATCTGATTATTCCTTTGTACATTTTGACCAATAACCATTTAATAACCACAACAAAAATCAGCACAATAATTTAATTTGATGTGTGCTTTATTTTGGGAATTTAAAGAATTCTTTAATATATGTGTGGGATATACATCTATTAATAATGAGTACAGCAGTAAATGTGACAATATTAGAATACCAGCACAGTATATAACCAAATTGAGTTTGAATGGCAGGCAATATAGATGCAAGTATTGTGTACATCTGACGTCCATCATAATTATTTCACTTGTTCTTTAGAAACCATATCGCTTGTTCTTCGGAAACCAAATGAACAAAACTAACATTTTTAAATTGTTGCCATACATAAACATCAACAAAGCAATATAATCAACATGCAATTAACTGAATAATCAACATCTCTACAGCAAATGCAATATGCAAATTACATCTTTCTTACTTTGGTTGGTTTACATTCAGGGTTTGTTATAGTGGAGCTTTTGTGTCAGAGACAGACAGGAACTGATGTGGTTAGATGTTCCTAAAACGTTACTTAGACTCTTATTAACATCTAGAATCATGCCAGCACATTTTACTTTTTTCCCTTTTGCAGCTCTAGCTTACATGCTTACGGAGTAATTAACACTCAGTGTGTGTTGGACATACATTTGCATGCTTTGAAATTAAATTAATTAAAACGTAATCTAATCAAGCAAAATAAAAACCTTTTATTGACTCATATTAGTTTCATGGTGAACCTGCTTGTCTCCATATAGTTGCCTTTCCCTCCGTTATTACTTGACTCAGCACTTCGTGGCACGTATGCTATTGTGGCTGTGTGCTTTATTTGCCCTTTACTCTTACTCCAGAAGAGCATGAAGATGAAACATACACTCACAGAGCTGAAGAATGAAAGAAATCCAATGGTTGCAGCTACCAGTAACGTCTTTACATCAAATGAGATATTCTGGTCTCCACTCACACCTGGCGAGGCGGACGGAAAGGCAAACCAGCCTTTAAGACGGAGGTTTTTTTTGGAAGATGCTGGAAAGGCTCGGACATGAAGGCTGACGGGCATGCTGTCATTTCCTGCCGCGTTAGATGCCACACAGAAATAAGCACCACTGTCCATAGGTTGGGCATAGCGAACCTCCAGCGAGCCATTAGAGAGAGCCCGTATTCTGCCAATGGGCGATAGAGGTTTTAGCTGTGGGCTTATCCAGGTGACCGATGGCACAGGGTCCCCTTCTGCATTGCATTCAAACACCATTGTGTGTCCTTGATCTACTCTCACTTCTTGAGGTTTGTGGTTCAGAATACGAGGCTGCCGACATGTGAGCAGACCTGGGAGTTCAGCTTCAGTAAAGTCCAGAAAATACCAACCCTGCAACTGCACTGAGGTTCTGCAAGTCGGTGGATTTCCGCCAAACTCCAGATATGGTCGCCTTCGCACCACCCACAGCAGGCGGCAGTCGCATGCTAGTGGGTTGTTGTCTAGTCCCAGATTTCTCAGGGTGTCCACTGAATGGAAGGCTCCCACCTCAAGTGTGGTGAGAAGGTTTCTGGATACATTCAGAAGTCTGAAATGAGCCAAACCTCTGAATGCTCCAATATCGATACGCAGCAATGACCCCCCCACCAAATGGAGTTCCTGGAGCCGGAGCAACTCTCCAAAAAGGTTACCATAAATGAATGTAATTGGGTTAAAAGAAAGGTCTAGGAATACAAGATATACAAGATGATGCAAAGGGGTGTAGGGGACAGCACTGAGGTTGCAGTTTCTAATAGTCAGGGATGTAAGATTTAATCCAAAGAGACTGTTTCCTGACAGATTCTCCAGACAGCATTGAGAAATGACAAGTTCCTTGAGATGCTCTAGCTGACGGAAAGCGTAGTTTGGCAGCGTTGTGAGGCCCAATCTGTGAAAATGAAGACTCCTCAGCTCGCCAAGCTGAGTGAGCGCCTCTGTCGGCACGGCAGTGAGGTTGCAGCCATCGAGATGCAGCTCTTGCAAACTGGTTAAGCCAGTGAAAGCTCGACGAGAAATAAAAACTACGTCATTATCTGCTGCTATAATAAACTGAAGGGCAGTTAAGTCACGGAAAGTAAAATCGAGAAAAACAAGGATCTCATTTCTGCTTATGTCCAGTAACTTTAGTTTTGGCAAACCGTCAAACGCCCCCACATGGATAATCTTTAGGTGGTTGTGAGCAAGACGCAGAGTTATTAGACTTTGCAAGCCGATAAATGCTTCCACCTCAATTAAAACCATGATATTGTCATTCAAATCTAAGTCTAAAAGTTGTGTCAAAGTCTGGAACTGCTGCTGCACCAGAGACTTGATCTTATTATGTGTCAAGTTTAGTATTTTAGTGTTCTGCGGGAGAATGTTGGGCACTGTAGTGAGTTGTCCATCGGAGCAGTTGACCTCCTGCAGCACGGTGTTGCAGCGGCAGGGCTGTGGACACGACCGGCGGGTTTCAGAGGAGAAGGCCACCCCCGCTGCCAACAGGAAGAGAGCTCCACAGCACAGCCATTGGTGGACGACAATCCCCTCAAACATCTGGTGGCCTGTGTGTTAGAGAGAGAGGCAGCTGATAAAAGAGTGAGAAGGATACATCATTGAAAATAGAGAGCATTTTGCAAAACATAAATAGTACTCAAAATAATGATTATTAAAACTTTTAGGCTTCACATGAGGTATTTTCTTGATATTCAGATCCAGAATTATGTGAGAAGTTGCTCTCTCTTTATATGAACCAATAGTAAATCAACCACTATGGCGCAGTAAAAGCAAAAATATATTTCTGTACAGGATGTCCAGTCCCAATGGTTTTATAACACTGCTCGAAGTTTAACTGCAACTGGGATAAAAGTGTCAGTTACTGTAAAATAGATATCAGTAATTACACTATATCTCCTCAAATAATTCATGCAAAAATGTATGTTGACATGATATATAAACAGACATCATTCCTTTAAAAATGGAAACGAGAATGCTAGGTAGCAATTCAACAGAATCAGTTCATCAAACAAAATGTGTGACTGAAATGTGTTATTTAGATTGCCAAGAGAGTGCTGGAAAAAAAATGTGATGCCACCTCAGATCTTTTCACATGTTGTATTAAACAACACAACACTATAGAACATGTGACAAGAGGGACAGAGAGACAAAGACTGCATTTAGTAGTAATATTTCTTATATACATACATTATTTGCCAAAAGAGCAGTGTTTAAATAAAAATAAAATAGGAAAAAATAGGTAAGCATGTTCACTAAGGCAAAAGAGGATTTTGTGTAAATATTTTTATTTTAACATTAACATTATATTTAACTTTTGCATTTCAAAGAGTTCACTAAACATTTTACACTTAAATCATTGGATTTTTGCCTTTTTGGAAACGTGTTATATTCAATAGAGTGTATTTATGACAAAATAAATTATTGCTGTGTTTAGGATTATCATTTTTAGGTTTTTACTTTATTTAGACACAGTTATGGGTATAGAGCTGGGCAATACTGTAGGCGCTCCCCAGAGCAGTGAGTGATGAAGACTGACACCTCCTGAACTCCTCCGAGAGCGTATACATGCTTGAGAGTGAAAACAGTGTACAAAGGTGAAATCACAGTTATTTCCTGGGTCCTAACATTTTAGAGAGCTCAAGAACAATGTAATTGTAATCACTTCGTGTACCACGAAGTGATGTAAGAGTGAGAAAATCAAACATTGTAACTCACCGTCTCTTCAGTCTGGAGGGCTTGTCATTGTGATAGCTCCATTTTAACAATTTTGTGATCAAAAGGTAGAACCATTTTGCAATTTTTTTTTTCTATTATTGTCTCTGTAAACATGCACACAAAGAACGATAACTCTCAGAGCAGGGTTAATCTTTTTGGTCTTCTCGGGTCCACCTCAGAAATACATCCAAATGAAACCTGCAGTGTGAGAGAAAGAGACAGACATATCATAACGAGAAAGCCTTATCCTCCCATTCTGAATTATTCAGCTCCGGAGGAAGCGTGTTACTGCAGTTCTGTTCCCCTGTTGCTTCCCTGTACTCATGGCAACACAAACCTGGCTCATGGACGTGTGTGTGTGCTAGGTGCATGCTGGGGGATTATATACACTAGCTCCTGGGCTGCATCCAACTCACTCTACTGGATGACAGGAGGTAGCACACAGGTCAGCCAAATGAAGAGATTTGGGCACAAACACCAGATGGGAATGAATTCAAGCACTGACACTTAGAAATACAGATCTTTTTCAGATTTCTGGTCTATTAAAGCCTTTCGATGAAGACACAACTGTTGATTTGTAGTGCTGGAAGGTGGGGACAGGTCAAACTTAACCCAAAAATACATAATTTCCTTCTTACATTTATGATAGAGCTACACCAACACTGCTCCACTTCTCAATTGGATATGCCAACACTCCCTTCAATAAGCAATAGAAAAATAACACAGATTTGCCTGACTTTCTGCTCAGCTGAAGGATTATGAGGTGTGTATTGAAACAAAAGGTGCACGATCACCACAGAAGAAGAGACGGTGCTGAGTCAGTCACATACCATCTGGTACCCCGGGGAATCTGCCTTCATCAGCAAAATCTCTGTCCAACATCGGAAGGCAAAATCAGTGACGAAAGCAACAGTCTTGGACAAATCAGAGCTCCTAAAACTCCTATATCACAATGTATTTTTATCATTATTTTTGCTTCGTTACTGCTGCTCCCAGTGGTGGTGACTGCTGTGATGTCTATAGGTTATTCCCTCCTCTTTATTAGACAGAGTACAGTACACAGATAAGTGAAAATGGGGATTACAGAGATGATTTGCAACAAATGTCTTCAGCCAAGTTTTACCCAGCGACATTGCAAATGACATGGTCAGCATCTTTATAGAAAAAATATTATACACCAATTGTATTTACTACAGAGTTATATCAGAAGATACCACATCATTAAGCCAGCATAGCCACCAATACAGCCAGCAGCTAGTTAGCTTAGCATAGTGACTGAAAATAAGTGGCAGTGGCATGCATCAAAACGTGCCAACCAGCACCGTTCAAGTTCACAAATCAAAACACTATGTATTTTTTTAAATGTGAGAAAAAAATCTAAGAAGAAAACAACACATAGTTGTGGTTTTACAGTGGTAAATTGTTTGACCATTTTTAGGCGCGTGCATTAACTTTTAGTCCCAATTAATAACTGCAGTTCTTCCGATATTAAGTGACTTGATGGTTTCTTGTGCAGAGAAAGTTCAAACTGAATGTGTATTGTGTTTTTATTGTTGTTTTTCTGCCAAATAATTAGTTTTTCTCATGTGTAAATGACAAACTCAATGATATGTGTTGTTTAATAATGAACCAGAAAATGGTGGAAAATGCGTGGCCTATCTCTTTCTATCAATCTATTACAGTTATTTTTAGATAACAAATTATTATTATTGTTATATATTACTATCATGTAACTTTTATAACTTCCACCTCTGGTAGTGGAAAGGTATTGTGAGCCTCTGCAGCTGGTTGTAAATTAGATTCACATGACAAGTTAGAGAGCAGATGAACAGAAGGACCGAGCAAAAAACAAGCAACAGAGTGCAGGAGGAAGCTATACTTCCTCTTTCTAAAAAGGGAGAAAGGCTTTCTGGTCCGTTACAAACTTTCTTTGTTCACGTTCTCCCCTGCGGATAATTCTGCAAAAAGGTAAATGCTAAATCTTCTTTGTAATGCATTGAGACTGTTTTACTGATATTCTGAGTAGATATCAAAAGCTAATGATGTAAGAACAAAAGTTTAGCTGAGAAAGAAGCTCAAAGATTACAGTGAGACTGATTTGAGCTAAAAACCTTCTGCTGCATTTCCTGAGTCAAAGTTGTACAGCACCGGATTTTCTCTGGTTGTTTTAAAGTTGTGTTTGTCTTCTCTTTAGACTCGACGAGCACAGTGCACATGAACAACAACTAAGATATGTCAACGTTTAGATGTTGATATTTTTATTGCACCCTAACCCATAAGATATCAGAAAATAAATGGTCCAATTGTTGATGCAGAACTCAAAGCGACGTTAAGAGTAAAAGACCTAAAGAAATTCTGTTTAAATAACAAAAAATGTGTTCTAGTTACAATAAAAAAGGGATAATCTGCTTTTATAATATGAATAGTTTTGCTTCTCCCTCTGCAGGATGCATATACTTTGTGCCGTGTTGCTTTTGCCGTTTGTGATCCTCACCCACTCTTCGTCTGCCTTAAATAAAGTGTAGGAGGAATGGCAAATTGAACATCGCAAGGTTTATGATAATAAGGTAAGAATGTCAGAACCATACACACACATTTTCACACACTTTATCAGATCATTTAGCCTGTGTCTTGGTTTCAGACTGAGATGGAGTTCAGGAGAGCGGTGTGGGAGAAGAACATGATGTTAGTGTTGAGACACAACCAGGAGGCCTCAGCAGGAAACCACAGCTTCACCATGGGACTCAATCATCTCTCTGACATGGTAGGAAAACTGCTTCTCAGTCTACTGCTCAAAAAACAGGTTGTGTAAACTTCTTAGCACTGGATCCTTCACAAAACAGAAACGTCTCGACTCTTAGTCTGGAGAAAGTCAACAGTAAAATGTAATCTAATCTTATCTAATTCAAATTAACAAGCAATTATTGAATGTAGCTTACTGAAGTAGCCTTGAATCAACCATAAAAGAGCTCTTTGTATCTTTCAAGTCTGAATATATTCAACAAGATATTTTACTGCCAAACCGAAGCACGCATACAGTGCTCAACATTTTTGAACATGTCATCATTATTTAAGAGAGAAATGTATCAGAGCGATTAGAGATAGTAAACAGGCAGATATCTCACCCTGAACATGATGTCCCTTCACTGACTCCTCTCGCTGCTGGACATTAAAGCTGGTTCACACTCATTGACATCTGCTGGCACGCGACTGATGTCACTGACCAACACTGGTAATCTGCATTAAACCTGCACCCTGCGTGGCTGAACTAAATCCTAAACTATAGAATAGCACTAATCTCGCTTTATACAATCTGATTAATTTAATCCAGTATAGCTGGGCCAATCTGGACATTCATTATGGACCATTATTAAGTAAAGTGCATCTGGGAGGGCTAATAAAGTTACATAAAGGGTTGGTGTACATGCGAAACACTACTTGAATAGGACATTAATCATTATGCTCAGTGAAGTGTTGATAAAGGTTTGTAGAGTCAAAACCTAGAGACTAAGGGCATTTTTTAGGCTGTGTTGGAAGGTAATAAAGACATGTTTTACTTTGATGATGAACACGTGAAGGACGTACTGTATGTGGGGAAGGCTAAAATGTTCTTATCATTTTTACAGAGTTGTTGTGCTGATGCGAGAAAACTAGTCAAATCTGAAGCCCACACAAAAGGAGACAGCTAAAAATGGGGGGCGAGTTAAAGGCTTGGCGTGGCGCTTTATTGAGTTCAAATAAAAATGACATAGTATAGTGTGGTCTATTTTGTTCTCTTTTTCCTAAAGGCAGAAGTGTAAACTTGAATCAGAGGAACTTGTGGTTAGTTTTATGATTGCCTGCTGGTGTCTGAGGGACACTACATGCACAAATACAAACTTCCTTTGCAGATCTGTGATTCTAAAATAAATATTTCAAAAGAGGGCTATAGTTGGAGATTCGAGGATGAAAAGTTTGGAGAGAAACTTTTGGGAGAAAAAGAGGACTTTGAGGAATGCTGATATATATTTCATCATGTCCTCAAACTGCTGCTGAAATTGTTAAATGTACTGTATGTGCATGGCATATACAGTGGGGCAAAAAAGTATTTAGTCAGCCACCAATTGTGCAAGTTCTCCTACTTAAAAAGTTGAGAGAGGCCTGTAATTTTCATCCTAGGTACACTTCAACTATGAGAGACAAAATGAGAAAAAAAGAATCCAGGAAATCACAAGGTTTTCACACACTGTTGCTGGTATTTTGGCCCATTCCTCCATGCAGATCTCCTCTAGAGCGGTGATGTTTTGGGGCTGTCGCTGGGCAACACAGACTTTCAACTCCCTCCAAAGCTTTTCTATGGGGTTGAGATCTGGAGACTGGCTAGGCCACTCCAGGACCTTGAAATGCTTCTTACGAAGCCACTCCTTCGTTGCCGGGGCGGTGTGTTTGGGATCATTGTCATGCTGAAAGACCCAGCCACGTTTCATCTTCAATGCCCTTGCTGATGGAAGGAGGTTGTCACTCAAAATCTCACGATACATGGCCCCATTCATTCTTTCCTTTACACGGATCAGTCGTCCTGGTCTCTTTGCAGAAAAACAGCCCCAAAGCATGATGTTTCCACCCCCATGTTTCACAGTAGGTATGGTGTTCTTTGGATGCAACTCAGCATTCTTTCTCCTCCAAACACGTCTAGTTGAGTTTTTACCAAAAAGTTCTATTTTGGTTTCATCTGACCATATGACATTCTCCCAATCCTCTTCTGGATCATCTAAATGCTCTCTAGCAAACTTCAGACGGGCCTGGACATGTACTGGCTTAAGCAGGGGGACACGTCTGGCACTGCAGGATTTGAGTCCCTGGCGGCGTAGTGTGTTACTGATGGTAGCCTTTGTTACTTTGGACCCAGCTCTCTGCAGGTCATTGACTAGGTCCCCCGTGTGGTTCTGGGATTTTTGCTCACCGTTCTTGTGATCATTTTGACCCCACGGGGTGAGATCTTGCGTGGAGCCCCAGATCGAGGGAGATTATCAGTGGTCTTCTATGTCTTCCATTTTCTAATAATTGCTCCCACAGTTGATTTCTTCACACCAAGCTGCTTACCTATTGCAGATTCAGTCTTCCCAGCCTGGTGCAGGTCTACAATTTTGTTTCTGGTGTCCTTTGACAGCTCTTTGGTCTTGGCCATAGTGGAGTTTGGAGTGTGACTGTTTGAGGTTGTGGACAGGTGTCTTTTATACTGATAACGAGTTCAAACAGGTGCCATTAATACAGTTAACAAGTGGAGGACAGAGGAGACTCTTAAAGAAGAAGTTACAGGTCTGTGAGAGCCAGAAATCTTGTTTGTTTGTAGGTGACCAAATACTTATTTTACTGAGGAATTTACCAATTAATTCATTAAAAATCCTACAATGTGATTTCCTGGATTATTTCCCCCCATTCTGTCTCTCATAGTTGAAGTGTACCTAGGATGAAAATTACAGGCCTCTCTCATCTTTTTAAGTGGGAGAACTTGCACAATTGGTGGCTGACTAAATACATTTTTGCCCCACTGTATCTATCAGCCCTCTTTTCTCAGACAGCAGAGGAAGTCAATGAGAAGCTGAACGGCCTGAGGCTGGAGGAGTCAGCTGATTTCAGAAATGTCACTTTAAAAGGAACCGAGTGGCTAAGCGACGCCTCAGAGTGTCGACTGGAGGAAGCCCGGGCCTGGTCAGTCTGGTCCAAAACCAGGTGAACAATCATTTTAGATCAGCCATTTTAAATTGAGGGAACAAGAGCTAATAAACAACCAGTGGCAATCATTTATCTTTCTGGAAGGGGATGTGTGGGTCCTGCTGGGCCTTCAGCTCTCTGGGGGCTCTCGAGGGTCAGATGAAGAGGAGAACAGGAGTCCTGGTTCCCCCGAGTCCTCAGAACCTGGTGGACTGCAGCACCAGCGACGGGAACCACGGCTGCAGAGGAGGATACATCTCCAAATCCTTCAGCTACGTCATCCGCAACCAAGGCGTGGACTCAGAGAAGTTTTACCCCTACGAACACCAGGTAAGGAATTAACTGTCAAGGTTGTTATATTAAGAATTATCGTATTAAAGTATTGTTTTACAGTTTTGTAGTTTCTTCTTGTTTTTTTCTATATTTTGCATTTAGTCAGTTTACTTGCCAAATCAACCCGCCATCAAGAGAATTTCTGATAAACAGACAAACCATCATGCCAAATATATTTCCTAAATACTTATGTAGTCTGTTCTATGTATGAAACATTAATTTTAATTATAATTATATTTCAGAGCTGGATTTGTGTTTTGACAGATGTGTTGAATACAGAATGAAACTCTGTTTCTAGCTGAGATGATATGAGAAATGTAGATTTGTATATTAATATTTACGCTGTATACATGCATTGTAATCACTCTGCATACTTAAAGGTGGGGTAGGTAAGTTTGAGAAACCGGCTCAAGATACACTTTTTCTTATATTCCATGGAATGCTCTTAACATCCTGATAGCAATGAATATCTTAAGTGCTTTAACAAAAAATCCATAAAAAAGTTCATCTGTGGAAGCCGTAGTGCTGTAAAAAGCACGACCAATCATTTTAGCAGGCCCGGCTAAAATAACTGGATGGCCTACCTGCCTGTCAGCCTTCCATCTGTGCACAAACTTATCTCGTGCCCTCATTGGTCATGTGCGCGTTCGTGTGTGTTGGAGGAGGGGCTCTGTAAGGAAGTAGCAGATTTGTTCCGGCTGTGTATTTTCAAATTCTAGCGCACTCGAGCTGGTTTCTCCAAAATGACCTACCCCACCTTTAATACAAATAATACACTGTGTTGTTGTTTGATGTATATTCACCCTTAGAACAAAATCAAGATACACTTCCACACAAGTGGCTTAAGAGAATAAAACGTACAACATATTTAACAGGTTGATTAAATAGATGGATACATATTATAATTAGTAAATCTCACTTGTGTTTGTAGAACGGGAAGTGTCGGTATTCAGTCAGAGGAAAGGCCGGCTACTGCTCTGATTTCCACATCCTCCCTGGGGGGGATGAGGGGGCTCTGCAGGCTGCCGTGGCGTCAGAGGGGCTGTGGCCCTGAACGCCATGCTGAAATCCTTCCATCTCTACAGAGGAGGTGAGGCTTCATGGACATTTAAACATTGGATGTGCAGTATGGTATCTTTTATACTTTGGTTGATGAAAACAGAACAGGCTTTGCAGTCATTTCCTGCTCCATTAATCTTATGACCATTTTAAAGGTTCTTTAAGGGGTGAAATCAAATGCTTCAAGTAGTATGTCTCCCTTTTGCTTCTAATCTTCTATAGGCTACAACATCGTTTTCTCAGAAATTGTTTAAAAGGCCCAACTCTGCAGCTATGTATATTTTGCTCTGTTGATATTATCAATCCACCACTGGAATACTTCACAAAACTAGAATTTGTCCGAATAAACTTTGGTCTTTTCATCATAACTTTGGTCTTTTCAGTTACAGTCATAAAAACAAAATCACTTTCATATTTAATTATATTAGATATTTAGAGGGATACAAAGACGGTGGTGCACTTACATTAAGTGTTATTTTCTCAGGTGTTAAGTCCTGTATCTTATAGTTGTATTGGTCCAGTGTTGTCTTAAATGAAAAATGTTTTAATTTCTTCTTACTCTATTAACAGTTATGAATCAGATGTTTTATTCATGCTAACAGGCCCATTTTTTTCTGTGTTTAGTGATATTAATGTGTTATCTTTACAATATCCATATAGGTTGTGTGGCTGGACAGGAGGGAGTTTAGAGCATGTCAATATTTAAAATGTTCTTAACCACTTTTATAAACCTTATGCATGTTTCAGGTTTATATAATGTACCAAACTGCAACGCAAAGTTCATAAATCATGCAGTGCTGGTCGTGGGTTACGGCACAGACGCAGGACAAGACTTCTGGCTCGTGAAGAACAGGTGAGTTTGTCTCTTCTGGCTAAAAAGTGTCACAGGATTTGACAATTGTTTTTATCCCACATGTGAAGTGTATGACCTATATTAAATATTACATGTGAATGTGAATGTGTTTGCAGTTGGGGCACCTCGTGGGGAGAAGAAGGCTTCATTCGAATTGCAAGAAACAAGAACAACCTCTGTGGTATTGCCAGTTTTGCAGTCTACCCCACGCTGTTATTTATTAGATAACAAAGACATTGTTCTTTGTTTTTTACCTGTAACACTGACACTGATACCCTGGAAGTAAAACTGGTGGATACAACAAATAAAAAAATGCCTGTGTTTCCTTTCTTAAAGTTCATTTTGAAGATAGAGTTCTCTTCATGTTATCAATGTGTTTATTTAAATGTTTGTATTTAAATGTTGGCTCTGCTTCAGTGAACTTTGTGGATTTAATTAAACTCTGAATAAACTAAATATCGGTGTTCTGCCTGTTATGAAGGGTGGCACGGGAAGAAAATATTATTACTGTTGTCATATTTAGATAAAGTATTATACAGTTATTTTTATTACGGCCTAATTATGGCCGGGTGTTGTTAATAAACTTCTTCTTCTTGATTCTTTATTGGTTTTGGTGAACAATATACTGTAGAGATGTTTAACTTGATTTTTGTGTGACACATTTATCTTCCTCCCCTTGCTGTTCTTCCTTAGACGTTATACTATTTTCCAAACTGTAGGCCTTTCTTGTTTGAAACATTAAACCACATTGAGCATAATGAACAGAAAAAGTTCGTTTTAATTAATGTATCTAAATGTGCTAATCACTCAACTGAAAGCAGCAGACTACAAAGAGAAGGAGTCTGCCCAGCACCAAACAGCTATTGTCGGAGCATTTTGCGGCTAAAGGGGCAGATACTTCCTTCAAAGCTGAAACAATAATAAGCTTGGATTTACATTCATTAGAAACACGACTCCAGATCAATGAAATACTGCCCCGTAGCTGCTTTACTAACAGCCTAAAAAAGGCAAAGATCCATGGAAATTATGTGTCAGTGTTATGTTCTTTTTAGTGCTGCCCCCAAGTGGAGAAACCACGTGTTGCAGGTTTAATGAGCTGCAGGTGTGCAGTGGGCATGGTGGCTTATAAAAACCCTGAGCTTCTCCCTGCACTTTCCCCCAGTGATCTCCTCAGGTTGGTCATATTTTAGCATCTCTGATCTCCAATAAGCATGATTGGCGTTTATTTTCAATGCTTACTTTTGTTGTTTCTCTCCAATAAGTGCATGATGTATTGATAATTGCCTTTTTATCTTGGTAAATCACTTTTCTTCTATCTACTTTTTGCTTTCCATAAATGTAACCAGCATGTACACGTTTCTTTAAAAAATACACTTTACTAATGCATGGATTTATATTTTATTTCAACTGATTCTAAATGTGAATTGCTATCAGCTGGTGGTGCTTCAGTGAAGTTTGCTGCAGCTGTCTAATCAAAGCCAAATCCAGAGATGTTTCGGAGCCTGCTTCTCACCATCGTGTGTGGATATGCATCGGCCATTCTCAGTTCAGAACTGGATCGACACTGGGTGTTATGGAAGAAGATTCATCAAAAAGTCTATGAACACGAGGTAAAACTAAAGTCTTAAGTTATCTTAAGACTTTAATAATGTTTGGGGTTTAGGCATGAAAGCCAATTGAAGTGGTCATCTCCTTATTGCATTAATTCTAAAATTGTAACCATTTCTCTTTTTTACAAGGGAAATGCCTATCAATCGTATAAGTCTTCACCTCTTGGTAATTTCAGTCCGGAGGATTTTACTCGTATCGTATGTAGTTACTGTGCTGTGTTTCCAGATTGAGGAGCTGGGGCGCAGGCGGATCTGGGAATCCAACTTGGAAATGATTAATGTACACAACCTGGAAACCTCCCTGGGCCTGCACTCCTATGAGCTGGCCATGAACCACTTGGGGGACCTGGTAAGTAAACTATTATTGGATTGAAACACCATACCTATGTTCATTATGTATTCTTTGAAACTGTTTCTTACCTAGACAAATGGACAAACTGACTTGCAATCTTTTTTTTTATTTGTAGACCACTGAGGAGGTCTTAGGCACTCTGATGGGCACCGTCGTGCCCTCTGACCTGACCAGGGGTCCTCCCGACTCTTTCGCGGTCAACGTCTCTCTACCGCCAACACTGGACTGGAGGAAAGAAGGCCTGGTAACTGAGGTCAAACAGCAGGTGAGGGATACCTTTTTAAATAATCAGTTCATATCAACAGAGAACATTAGGACTTGATTGGGTTTTGTAGCTTAAGACAAAGACTGCAATCGACTAAAGGAAAAAAATCACATCCACTTTTCCTTGACCTCGAGGAAAAACCTCTTGAAGGGAAGATGTCAAGGATAATTCACAAGGACTTAAAAGTGGACCACTGTGCTAATCGACTCAAACTGTACTTGCACTCGGCTGTTTGTGGTTATTAAATCAGCTTTATATATTTTATATTCTACCATGGATGGTTATTTATCTTAATTACGGTGCGCTTGCCTCTTTATTAGAATGTACTTATTGTATTTGCCTTTTTTAAATCCAGTGGCTGTAACAATTACAATTTCCAAACTGTGGGACCAATAAAGGATTTCTGGTGCTTGTGTCAATTTGGACCCATGTTTAATCAACTTTTCTCTCTTCAAGGGTTCATGTGGCTCTTGTTGGGCCTTCAGCGCAGTTGGAGCTCTTGAAGGGCAACTTAAGAAGAAAAACGGCACCCTGACGTCCCTCAGTCCTCAGAATCTGGTGGATTGCTCCCTTGTGTACGGAAACAGTGGGTGCCACGGTGGCTTCATGGCAAACGCCTTCCAATACGTCATTCAAAACAAAGGCATAAATTCAGAAGCATCTTACCCCTACGTTGGCCGGGTGAGATTCCTAAGCAATGAATGTGCCAGTTTTGCAATATTAAAATATTCAAAGTTTAACCCTACTGTAACTCCCCTGAACATTGCTTTCTTTACAGCGTGGTAATTGCAAGTATAGCCCAAAGTACCGCATCGCCAACTGCTCAAGCTACGCCTTTATCGCAAAGGGCGATGAGTTTGCATTGAAGGCAGCTCTAGCTAAAATTGGCCCTATCTCTGTAGCAATCGATGCCTCCAGGCACAAGTTTGTCTTTTACCGTCATGGTGAGAAGATGCTTAATACCTCTTAAATGACAAGTTTAACCTTGGTTGTAAGTTTACATAAAAAATGTTGGGATCTTTGTGAATGTTTTCCTGAAGTCTTTACCTGTTGTGTGACCCTACAGGAGTGTACAGGGACCACAGCTGCACCCACAACGTGAACCATGGCGTGCTGGCTGTGGGCTACGGCACCGAGAATGGAGACGACTACTGGCTGGTCAAGAATAGGTGAGTCTGAGATTTTAGCGTTGAATGGGAATGTATAAAACTTTATTTCTGTTTTATAATCTAAATGTTCTTCAATTGTAGCTGGGGTGTAACCTATGGAGAGGAAGGCTACATCAAGATGGCTCGAAACAGACGTAACCAGTGTGGGATTGCTCTCTACGCTTGTTACCCCATCATGTGATCAGCAGATGGCCTGATATTTAAATGTATGTTTTTCCACGGGAGTTTTAATTTAATAAACAGTTTGATCCTTAACTTGTGTTTTTCCTGTAGTGGGTTTGTGTTTATTTCCGTGACATCACTACGTAACACTTGCAGTTCTATTGGCTAGCGCTCCAACATGTTGAACATGATGGGCTATATGGCAGGACATCTCCAGGTGGTTAACAGAGCCACCTAGCTAACCAGAGCAGACTGGGCTCTGGTTTCAGACAGAGGGTGAAAAAAGGTGCTGCAGTATGAGGAAAAATAAAGCACTTTTGGAACATTGAACATGGATGGTCATAGAAGCAGAAAATATGAAACTGAAATTGAGCATAATAGGGCCCTTTAAGGGTCACCTATTATGCAAAATCCACTTGTTCATGTTTCTTATACATAAACACGTCGCCTCTGTGTAAAGAGATTCTGAAAGTTTCAGGAAAAAAGTTTCACTCACTTTTTGTCCTGATCCATTTATATAAAAACCTGTCTGAAAATGAGCAGATCAGATTTTGGCCACTTTATGATGTCATAACGATTTTTTTGGTTTGTGTAACCATTAGCCAATAACCAACTAAGGTAACCCCCCCTCCCCTATCACCTGAATCTCCTCCTAGAGCACCATTTTGTTTGGTTTGGGGCTGATATATCTGAGACTTATAATATATTGATACAACTGTATAATAGGGGACCTTTTAAGGACTTGGGTAACTGTATCCTTTCCTTGACTGAGGAAATGGCAACAAGTGTTGCCATGCCTCCTGTCACATACCTGCAGAAATTGTAAGCATTGCAATTAAACCAGAAACCTTTGTTCTTGAGGACTCATTCCCGTGGATGGAGCACCTGAAGTCTTCTTGGCCAAGACACTGAAACTGTTCCTGGATCGGAGTGGAAAGCAACCACATAACTGCACCTTTACATAAAGTAGTCGGTGTAGAGATAATGCTGAAGTATTACTGATTTAAACTTGAGTTGATTTCATGCTGTGTAATGCAAACTCACAATGGGTTTTCTTTCAGGTTTTATTTCCATTATGATTTTCTTCAAAGAACTGGATAAAGGGCCAATCCTGGAATAATGAACAACTCTCACGTAAAATAAATACAGCACCTTTTCAGCATCACTAAAATATTCTCAATATCCAGAAGTAATAAATACTGAATGTACCAAGATTTTCAGTCTTCATTTACAAAACACAAAGACAACACACGATAGATTTTTGTGTCATATTGAACTTTTTTGGAATTGTTTTCATTGATCTTTTGTTCCACAAATTCCAAACTTGCACGTACAAACATCTACAGTTTCTACACACAGTACATTGATTTTTCATAATTGAACTCACATTAAGAGTAGAACTTTTATCATTTAATAAACAGCTCAGAGTCAAACTAAAGAAAACACAAACATAAATTCCCAAAGTCCAAACTACAGTGAAGGATTCTTGCAGTTCTTTTACAGATGGAGTTGTTTTCTGGCATGGGTCGGCCCTTTTTTTTCAGGACTCATTCAGAACTGATCCGTGTGCTCTTAAGGAAACAGAAACCATGCCATAAAAAGACCTCCACCCCTTTATCAGACCGCCATCATTAATGGAAGTCTTCAGGCAGGTGTTTGCTAACACATCCCATATCACTGCCGTCATAGAGAAAACTCAAACCAGTGACCCTTTTGATAGTTTATACATATATATTTGTATAGAATGCAAATTCTACACATAGTAACATTAAATAGTAAACTTTTACATTTTGGAAAGGAGCTTCAATTTGACAGAGGGAGCTCTTTTGATGAGTTGATAAATATTTTGGTGGTCCTCTTGGATTTAACACAGACTTCCTGTTTCCTCAGATTTAGTGAAAGCCTCCACGTTATTGCTCACACTTCCGCTTTTCAAAATAGTTTCAAATGGACAAACATGTGAATGTCAAATTGGACTTATTCTGGCTCCATTCTCACTAAGCATATTGCCATTTTCTGGCCATATCTTGTACCTCTTTGACAAGATGAATTGCACAGTTACAAGCATTCTCTGCTGAACTTTAGGCATATTTATATATATATATATATATTTATTTAAAAAAAGAGTTATCTGGGTCCAAGGTAAACAAGGAGCACAGTCACCACTAACTTACTTTCAGAACACATACTCAAGTTTCACCAATTTTAAACCCCACTTTGATTAAGAACAATCACTGCAAGCAACAAATCTATGTCATCATACAACAATGAAAACACTAGTTCTTGCTTTAGACAAAAACAGCTGGCATACAGGACGTCCAAGAAGTGAGACAATACGATACAAACATGCGTCACGATTGAATACAGAAGGATTAGAGGGCAAAGTTGTTTTTGTTCGTTTAAGATTTGATCCTTTTCCATATTTCTAAACCGAGAACAGACATCTATTAGACTGGCTATCTTTGATGGGGTTGGTTTTCAAAGACTGAATTGTAATCAGCAAAAGAGCACCCGAGTCTATCATGAAGAACAGCACATACAATTCTACACTGCATATATTGTTGTTTTTTCTTCTCTTTAGTGTAAATATATTTTCATGGTCCCCAACTGAGCTGCATTCATCGCAGGGATGAAAACACCGCAACAGAAAAAAGTAGAAAAATATGTGACAGACGATTTAGAGTCAGCTTACATACACACACACACACACACACACACACACACACTCCACACATGAACAGAACGACATATCCTAACAGTCTCTCCAACATGAACAAGACGGGACACGTTTGTCATCATATAGACACAAGACAAAAAAGGAGAGATTTCATCACAATAAAGGAATATTTTTTACACTTTAGGAAATGCTTCTACACACCCGTTTGAAGTCTTTATGCTAAGCTAAGCTAACACCTCCTCGCTGCCCACATACTTAACTTGAGAGTGGTATGAATCTTGTCATCTGAATTTCTGCAGTCAAGTGAATAGCTTACTTAAAATGTTGAAGTATTCTTTTATAGTCTCTCTCTCACACACACACACACACACACACACACACACACACACACACACACACACACACACACATATACAGTTCAAGAGGTCAGACAAACTCCAATAGCTGAGCTTATATCTGCTATTTTTATGAAGTGTGTGTTTCTTCACTCACAGAAAATGCCAAAGCCTCAAACTTCCTGAACTTGCATACACACAAACACACACGCACACGCACACACACACAATCCAGAGGACGTCTTCAGGTCAAACAACATGCTCTACTGGGCAGCAGCACCTACATACACTCACTGATTGTCAGCACACATGTTGATGTACACTTTTGGAGAAATGATCGACTAAGTAATGATATGTATATATAATGGTACTCAGTTAGCTTTACTTTGGAGAAATTGTGTCCAATTTAGAACAAAGTCACAATAAGCTATGGTCTTGTGTATTTGTGTACTTCTCGATTAAGCAGAATCATGTAGCAACACAGTGAGGGATTTCACTTTTTGTGGCACATGTGTATTCTGACAGGATCAGAAGCCCTTAAAATGAAATTAGACCCTTATGTGCCATGCTGCCTGATCAATAGGACTTCAGATGTGTTTAATTTGTGCTTATGAGAATAATGAAGTCACATCATGACTCCTTGGGGCGTTAACACAAGTTAGGGAAGGATACTGCATTGTTTGTTTAAGGTCATACAGGAAAATATAAAACAACCAAATACAGTTATAACAAAATTATATTATGGTCATTTTTCGAGTTTCATTCTGACAATAACTACTGAAAACAATATTTATAGTTTTGTCAATTTCGTGTTTCCATGGAACAAACTTTTCCATTCATTTATGACTTGTTTTCATATCAAGGCAAATAAAAGGATTTTTTTAAATAAGAGAACTATCCAGCATGTACAATAAATTGGTGAGTTGTTGCTTAAACATAACACCAGCTGTAAAAGTGGCCTAAACATTTCACCACACCTGAGCTACTGCGTGACTTGTATTTGATATAAATGGATGTGTGACTGCTGCTCCGTACATCCTGCTGTTGGATCAGTAAGAGATGCTCTCCATGGCTGCACTGAAACACATGAAACACTTTCATAACGACACACATGCACACTCACACTACTAATTTACAAAAATTACACTAAAGTATCTTCTCTCAACATCAAGCACTTGACCAAAATGCGTTTCTGTGTTGCAGACATCACACTGCCACAGCTGCATGGTTCAACAACAGGGAGGGGAAAACACGAGAGAAGCTGGATCAAACCATTCCCATTTACAACCAAGAATCCTGTGAAATGCATCTTCGCCTGTCTGCGTTTCACCTTTCAGTCGAAGACTGCAGGGATAAGGAATTCTGAATAAATGAAGTCTCACTGGAATGTTTTTATATAATTTGGTAAAAACTGTTCTGGTTTTAGATGGCAGTGATCAAGTGTCATGGGCCATTTCAGAGAAAATATAATCGCCCTGAAATTCATAGTGAGATCTTTCCAAAGAAAACATCTATCAAAGCACTAGCCTCAATGGAAATGTGGAGTAAATTGTACAAGCAGTGATAGGAAAAAGCAGCACTGAAAGCCAGTCACTGATGCCAAGGACAGACAGGAAAGTAAAACATTGTATTCATATATTAAAACCTACCACATTTATGGACTAAATATTTTCACGTTCCCCATGAATGGCTTTTTTCTAGTCTCATCTCTGCGTTTAACATCTCTGTCCTCAGCTGAAAGTGTTATCATACAGATTTAGACATGTTATCATGACATAGGAATGTATTTCTACATCTGTGTGCTCTACTCTTTATCGCTCTATAGACTTTAAATGATGCAGTCCGTGTTTCAAAGGATTCTGGGCTTACAATGGGGATGGCAGTCTGCTCTGTTGGTGTGTGGCGGCAGCTCTCTGGGATGTTCGGGCCTTTTGTTGTCAAACACACACTCCAGCTGTGCTCTGCTGCCAACTGCTGGTCATTTGTTTTACTGCAACACTTGGCCTCGCGTTTCAGGCAACTTTGTCGCAAGGAAACTACCTGCAGCGAGGGCGCCTGCAGCGAATATGATGGGTACGGCCTTGGTGATGCCGACGAATGACTGGAAGATGCTGATGCCCAGGACCGCCGCCAGCTTACAGAGGGCGTTCAGGAAGCCAAACGCTGTGCACCTGAACAAGCAGAGAGGGAGAAACACAATCACAGTGAGGCTTTAAGAACTGACGTGAGCACCACATCTTACATGTACAATATTTTGTTGTATTTCCGCTTGTAATGCTAGTAATAATAGTTGTTGGTTGTATCATGCACATACAAGTCCTCAACCTATAAGACATTAGACACCAGAAATCATGCTGCAGTGGTGTGACAACATTTGTCAGACGAAGTTGTTCAACATCGACTCCACATTGAATAGTTTCTCAACACAATGCAACAAAAATGCAACTATTACAAAAATGGGAGTCATCAAAGCATATTTTACCTAAAAGTAGAGTTTAAGGTCAATTGTATTGCAGAAAAAGTATTTTTCACATTAACCTGAAAACGAATGAAATGTAATTGAACATGACCATGCACACACAGATCTTTGATTTGGTAACTTGTTCTTCATAGTGACTTTTTACAAGCCACTCCAGTTAAGATATCTGGTTTATACCAACCCTTAAGAGATCTTCATCTAAGTAAGTACAATTAAGATTAAACCAAATAAAGTTTACAAACCGGATTTAAAAGGGACTTTTAAGAAATATTTTAATATTTTGGCAAAATATGTGTACTTTCACCAAATGTAACGAAATCTGCCTACCACCAAATCTCAAACCCATTTAAGGTTTATCTGGTTTCTACCAGAGGCTTTGTTTTAATAAGCCAATCAGAGGGCCTGTTTCAATTGGACAATCAGAGGTCTCATTTTAATTGGCCAATCAGAGAACTTGTTTCAAAGGGCCAATCAAATTACTTATCTCAAAGGGCCAATCACTGAAGCATAAAACGGAAATACTTAAGTAAAGTAAAAGCACCTTAAAAGTGTACTACAGAGTAAATGTACTTAGTTATTTCCCACAACTGTCTCTTTCTGAATCCCCACAAGCTCACATCAGGGAATCAACCTTAAAAAACGTCATCATCATCCATCATGTTACCTTTTGTCCGAGGGGTAGAGCTCCACTGTGATCACATCCAGGGCGTTCCACGAGGCGATGCTGATGCCACCAAACAGGCACAAGAGGGCAATCATCCCCGACTCACTGTTGCCGAACATCAGGAAGAAACAGCTGATACAAGATATGACACTGGATCCCGCTGATGAGAGAGAGACAGACAGAGGAAACAGAATTACATTAACTTAAATAGCCTGTATAGCCTAAAGTGAATTATCGCCATTGATTAGATTGTCTTACCCAGCATCCTTAAACGCCCAATTTTGTCCATTAATAGAGCTGACACGATGTTGCCAGGCAACACCGCCAACGTGCCGAGGAAGTTGACAAAGTAAATCATGTAGGCATTGTTGAAGTCGTCGCTGAAGTCCAGTATGCAGCCCTCTTTGTTGTGGAGGAAGGTGCTGTTGAGTAGTTTACAGTCCACAAACCTGTACTTGAATAAATCTGATGAAAGAGAAAAGGGAGAGAGAGAGAAGTGATGATGCTCTGATATTTATGAAGGAATTAATTGACATAAATGTTACTTTACGAGCAATAATGACTGGGATAGGTTTAATTTTTTAATCCAATCAAGTGCAATGAAGTGTGTACATAAATTATGTTGGAAAGGAAAAACATAGCACCCCTAACTTTTACAGTTTGTGTTTGAATATGTGTTTGAAACTAAAAACATTGATAATTGCTCAACTAAATCCTCTCATGCAGGCTTATTAATGGAGGAAGTCAGGGTTGTATGCAGCCTGACTAAAGGATTGGAGATAATCCTCAGTGCTGGAAAATGTACTTTGGCCTCCCCTTCATGTTGAATTAAGCAATGTTTAAGATCTAACCAACTGTATTTACAATGTATCTTCTTCTTAAAGATGCTAGAAGTAACATTTACCACAGATAAGGACAGTGCTCTTCATAGCAAAGATTGTAGGGCAGACATTTACATATTTAGTCCTCTATCAATTAAACTTGATTTAGGCTAATAGATGTTTTTTATACTATGATTTTGAAGAATGTTTTTCCTTTCTGAAACCTTAGTTATGTACAAACTCGCCTGAAAATAACGAATCTCAGCAAAATAAATGGGGACATTTTCAAAGCCACCACACAACCGGCACCCTGCCAGCAGCTGTTTCTAATTGAAATCCCTTCCAGGCAGCAATTAAACATGATAAACAGCATCCCTCGCTATAAACTGTTTAAAACTAAATAACAGGGGGAACAACAGAAAAGGTCACAAAAGGTTGGGAGGCCTGTTATGTTGTTCTGTGGTTATACTTTGATGCCTACAGCTGCACAAAAGCACATTATTAGATGTTTTGATGACACCGCTGAAACTGCTCTCATACCAATAGCCAACATTTTATTAAAGGCAGTCAGGCATAAGAGTGCTGAAGGATCATAAAGTTGTAGATGTCCGAATGACATGAACATAAAGGAATGTATTGTTGAGAAGATACTGTTGCTGCTGTAAAAGCTGCTGAGGCGGTTTCTGTGGGATTTAAGAAGCAGCTCCTCTGTTTTCTCTGAATGAATCTGACACGTTGACTGAAAGCACAATATTGTTCTTTGCATGGTCGAGTTGGACAGCCTGCATTTTCTACCAATGGCCATTGGCATATTCTTATTTGTAAGGCAATCTTACCTTTATCTCAACATCCTTTGGAAATGTATTGTCTTTGCTCCGAGGAGTAATTGCTACTTAATGTTCCTAAAGCCACGACTGATTAGGGAAAAATTGTATTGTATACATTTGCTGCTCCCTCTTTTTTTGTTTCATTTAGACATAAATCTGCTGAGTCGAGACTCTTTTGGATGACTTGCAGGGAGACACATTGTTGTGTTGTTTTGATTGAGTGTGTTGATGACTTATTTTTCATGATTATAATTCTCTGTTTTCATTTATGTGTAGTTTGTGTGTCTGCAACATTGTTCATTTTCAATGCTGTCTGTCCCAGGACACATTAAAGGTGGGGTAGGTAAGTTTGAGAAACCGGCTCGAGATTCACTTTTTGTTATATTCCATGGAATGCTCTTAACATCCCGATAGCAATGAATATCTTAAGTGCTTTGACAAAAAATCCATAAAAAAATGTCATCTGTGGAAGCTGTAGTACTGTAAAAAGCACGACCAATCATCTGAGCCGGCCCGGCTAAAATGACTGGATGGCCTACCTGCCTGTCAGCCTTCCATCTGTGCACAAACTTATCTCGTGCCCTCATTGGTCATGTGCGCGTTCGTGTGTGTTGGAGGAGGGGCTCTGTAAGGAAGTGGCAGATTTGTTCCGGCTGTGTATTTTCAAATTCTAGCGCACTCGAGCTGGTTTCTCCAAAATTACCCCACCTTTAAATATAAATGACATTATTTCCTAGTTATTGACACTCTTTTCCTGGTTGAATAAAAAGCAAAGATCAGAAAACACAGGCTGATTGTTGGATGGTAGAATGAGCTCCCCATTGACATCAGGACGGCAGATAGCTTGCACATCTTCCGGCGCAAACTGAAAACTCATCTCTTTCGACTCCACTTCGAGCGATAGAACTATTAACAAAGCACTTTTATACTAATAAAGGACTGGCTTATCTAAAGCCAGTTGAGTAGCACTTGAAATGTTTGGCTCTATGAAACCTGATGTACTTATATGATTCTGTTTTCTTCAAGTTTGTATTTTGTTGGTCGAACGCACTTATTGTAAGTCGCTTTGGATAAAAGCGTCAGCTAAATGCAATGTAATGTAATGTAATGTAATGATTAATAAATAGACAAATCAATTAAAAAGAATGAAGAAATAAGATATGATCTGAAGATTTATCTCAGAAGAAGTGTTGGTTCTAATTATCCATTGAACACGTTCTTGCATCTGTTGTTTCTAATCATGGAGAGCTGTCAGGAGTCTCGTCACTCTGCTGTCAAACAGTCTGTGATTTGTTTACGTTGCTAAGGTAACAGTTCTGCTGCAGTAAACTAGGGATACTAGCAACAGAATGTTTCCATGGCTACAGTTCTGCTGAACATCTGTGTTTTATCTTGTCTCTATTTTTACTTCAGGCGGCAGTAAAACCCCTGCACACTCCGATGGGTGTTTTTCCTCAGCAGCTGTGTTATAACATAAAAGTGATCATTACTGTTAACCTCGATGTAATTAAAATGAGTACTGATATAATGAGATGTGTTTTTCTCTGTTTAACAATATTTAAAGAGGCACTTGTTAATATTTTTTGTTAACCAAAACACTAAAGCACATTTAACAGAGTGTTTAATGTCTTAAACTCTCACTGCTCATGAATATTATTTAGCTGCAGGAGAAGCTAAATCGTCTGTTCAACCCCCTGATTGTTCATCTTCGTGCACATGACTATTGAACTCACTGAAACATGTCTGTTAATATTTACCTGTGTTGTAGAACAAACTTGCAATGAAGGTGCAGTTTCTGAAGAAGGTGTGAGTGGAGGTGATGTCCTCAAAGTAGCACTCCTCAAACACTGAGTCTTCAAACACCATGGACTTCATCTTCAGGTTCAGGAACCTAACGAACACTTCAAAGCTTGAACTTTTCTGTTCTGCAGTTTTATTGTTGTGCTTTATTGTTGATCATTAGAACATAAATCTGAATAAAACGGCAGCTCACAAAACACTCACTTGTCATTGAAAAAGTGTCCTTGGCGATGCACTTGGTTTTCCATGGTGAAGTTCAAAGTGGCGTGATCCATTCGCTCCTTAGTGAAGGTCTTTGTGCGTGAGTCATATTCCTGCCTCTGGATGTACTTGATCATGTCTGGGAACCACACTGTCAGACCGTAGTAGCTGCAAAATGTTGAATTTTGAACGATCTTAAGTAAAACGATTAAATAAACCTAAGAAGTGAACAAGAATCCCCACTTATAAAATGTTGTATAAGTCTATACTCTACCTGAAAGACATGGTAAACCAAACAGCCATGAGCATGAAAGTGGTCCGTTTATATTCTGGGCTGAAGCAGGCAAGGATGTTGTTCCTAATCTGCAACACGTAAAGAGGAAAACACACAACTTTAGAAAAAAGTTGCTTTGTAAACCCCTCAGAAGACACATGTGTATGATCTTAGTTTAATCTGATAATGTGGTGATATTTCGACTGATATTCCTGAGCAGTAATGTTCAATTTACAAAGAATTAACTTTATGAATTGGACCTAAAACTTGATGAAACTGGTGATATCTGTTGTCTTCCACATGAAACTACTTAGTTACAGCTTCAACATTAAGAGATGAGACTTTTTGTAGTGGGCATTAAGCACGTGGTGCAGTAGTAGATTTTGTAAAAGATGGAGGGTGTAGGCGTGTAGCAGAACGTAGGCTGAATGCAAATTGAAATCTTGCTGGTAAAGTTTCTGCCTGAAGCAGTGGTGCTGCAATAATGTGCAACACAAGAAAAACACAAGTTTAAACGTCATTTAGTAACAGATTCAACAAATTATCACTACATTTAAAAGTAGGGAACAAAAGGCAGAAAATAAAGTCTGAATGTGAATATGTCTGAATATGTAATCATTTGTGAATTTTAAGTCTAAATAGTTCACAAAATCCGACTGTGGTGAAGAAACTAATTAAAAGGGAAAAGATGGCATCTTCAACCTTTAGCTACTCTTGGACTTGCTGCCACCCACGCCTTCCTCCACAATGTTTGTTTTCACCGATGCCTTTTACAGCCAGCCTCGAGCTGTAAAAGGCCACAGCCTCATACAGAAATTATCTCAGGGGTCTTTTTATGTCATGCTTTTAAAAGTTGTTTACAATTTTGGTTCAGAACTGTCGTCTCCTTCACTGACCTGATGGGAGAGGCTCACGATCTTCAGCCTGTAGCGCTGCCAGACCGGAGTGTCGGTGCCAATGTCCGACAACTCATCCATCTGTTTCACCGTCTTAATTGTGGTGACCTTAGATAACAGAGATGCAAGTCCTTCAGCCAGATGTCTTAAAATGAATTATGATGGTAACATTTTCTAATTACAAATGGCATTTCTTCCTCCTGCAGCTTTGAGTTTTCCATGAAGAAACGATAACACAGTGAGACAAAAAGGATAATGCAAATGTAAATTTCCCCTTGTGATTAGAATGCATTACCATTAATTTATACTAAACACGTGTTGCACATTTATTGTTGATTTAAAACCTGGTGAAAAGGGAACAAGTGTGAGCACATTTAGTCATAAATAGTCAGGTGAAGGTCAACAAATATCCTTGACAGGACACAAAGTCTAAAGTCGATTTTGTAGATTGAAACATTGCTATAGAGAGGAATAAATCATTTATTATGAGAAGTACTGTGTGCAGACCTCCTTCACGCCCTGTCAATCTGATGACTGAGACGTAGAAAAGTTGCTCTGTTATTTTAATTGGGAGCTACATTTCTGTCTGTACAAAAGGATCACTAGAATGTCTTTGAAAAATGCTACATTTTGGACATTTAAAAACGTGTGGTTGTTGTTTTCTTTAAAGAGTGTAACTGTCTTTAGGTCAACACACTGAACAGTAGAGAAGAAACATAGAAATAGATGGACCTTATTTATCCTTTTTTTTATTATTAAAAAGGAAACTATTTATATGCACCAGAGTATTTGTTTAATTTGCATTAAAGCACAGCTAATTTATCGTTTGAATATATGTCAGACAAGTGATAAGACTGTGAAAATGTTTCAAGATGTCCATAGAAGAGTACGTTTTTAAAACTACAGCAAAGAATAAAAACGATCAGTGACCTTTAGTACATCATTCCCAATCTCTTCCTTCTCCGACTAACCTTTCTTCTTTTGCTGTCGGATATCTCATAAAGGCATAAAACAAAAAATGTCAGGGATACTCACAGAAAACACTTTCTCTGGGTGTCCCTTTGCTCGCATGTTAGTGTCGTGAACTTGCTTCAAAATCATCCAGCCTTCGTCATGTTTGCCGTTCTGTTTAAAATAAATATAAACGTCATACTGTGTATATCTTTCTGTTATTTGTATGGAAGTAACCACATTAGTTTAAACATTACAAGAAACAATTATCTTTACTCAGGTTATTTCACATTTGTAGTATCAATCATCTCATACTGTCAGACCGTCAATCAGCACATCTGCTCACCTCTAAGTAGAAGCGTGGGCTCTCTGGCATGGCACTGAGGGCAGCGATGGCTGCGACAGCGGGAAACGCGCACACTAACACAAACACACGCCAGCTATGGAACTGATAGGCCGAGCCCATCTGGAAACTCCATCCTGAAAAGACAAAAGATATTTGCTAATAATAGTCAAACCTTACACTTTGACCTACAATTGTACAGTAAAGGGCATCAGATGAGGTTGAACACCAAGTCTTTATAAGGCACAGGCTGGAATATATTTAATTTGGTGTGACACTGAATGAACTATGTTCTTATTTGTCCTGCCTCCAGGGGAGTCAGAGGTCAGCCGTAGTGCAGCATTTCTGGAAAGATGCTTGCTAGCAAAAAAGCTTAAACCAGCAGGATTTTACCAGCTAAAACTGAGGCTCCAAATTGTGTGTCAACAGTTTCCTTACTGCACAAATATCTACATTTAAGAACTAGATGATATGATGAAAACCGCCACATATAAAGCTAAAATCAGCAGCCAGATTCATTAGCTTAGCAATCAAATTGGAAACAGCTATTTTCAAAGAAAATAACATTAATAATTCCTCAGAGAAAATGTGAAGTCCAAACCAACTAGAGGTATATTGAGTAATTTAGGCAGCTTAAATGTATGTGTTGGGTAGATTTTGTTACACTTGAACAGAGCCAGGCAAGCTGTTTCCCCCTTTTTGCAGTCTGTGCTAAGCTAACTCGTCGTTATAACCTCATATAGTATGTAATGTACATATATGAGTGGTATCGTTCTTTTCATATAACTGTGAGAAAGCAAATGGGTATATTCCTTAAAATCGTTAACTTGTGCTTGAAGTGTTTATCAAAGTTAGGACGATCATCTAACTTGAACATTAGCAGAGGCAGCTAACAATACTCCTATATTCCGGTGGAACATGTAATGACATGTGTCATGTGAATAATCACCGTAATGTGGGATAATAGCCCAGGCCATGGCAGATGCGTATATCCCGCCAATCATCCAGAACATGCAGAGCCAACTGAGGTGCTCTCCACGTTTCTCCTGGGACAGGAACTCAGAGTAGTAGGAAAACACGATGGGAATAGAGCCACCAATCCTACAAAGATCAGAAACAAACTGAGTTGAACAGTCCTGTTGTTTAAGAGTTCAAACACACAGTTTAGGTTGAAGGATTAACAGCATTTGTAATAAGAAAGAAGACGTTAAATTATTTGATATGAGATGTCCTGAAACACAACTACGGCTCACACCTATTCTTTCACTTATTTCCTTTTAGTTAACTGTATTATGGTTTATATGTTTCCGTTAGTGCATCATAATGGAGAAGCGCTGATTAAACTACAAATTAAAATGATTCTAGCAACTAAATATGCGAGTTTTAGAAGAAAATAAAAATAAAAAACATATCCAAAGAAGCAGTTAGATGTCTTAAACACTCACACAGGGAAACTCTAAATTTCTAAATTATTAAAAGCTTTCCAAAAACATTTATGAAGTACCTCAAAATAAGGAGAAACTTTCTTTAAAAAAAAAACATGGTATGTCAAAATTATTTTTGAAATACTAATTCATTATATCAAGGGACTTTTTTCATCACATTGGCAGAAATGGGCTTTCATAACGGAAAGATCACATCAGAATAAGAAAATATGAATACAGTATTTCTTGATTTACCCAACACCCGAGAGGAGTCGGCAGAACAGAAAGGTGCTGTATCCCTGGACGAAGGAGGAGAAGAAGGAGAATACACTGTTGATAGAGAGACAGATAAGAAGAGACTGGCGGCGGCCTATCCGGTCAGCCATAGCCCCCCAGAGGAAGGCCCCGACCATCATCCCAAAATATACAATCAGTCCTGTGGAGAGAGCAGAGGAAATTAAACTATTAGAGCAGGGATGGGCAAATGGCGGCCCCAATCTCGTCTTTTTGTGGCCCTCAGATTAATTTATAAACAACGTAATTAATAAAAAAATTATAATTATTATTTTTATTTTTGTACTTGTGGTACTGATACCGTCCACTAGACTCCTAGTTAGTTACTTCGCAAACTGCGTACATGATTTCGTTCAGCAGCCAAATACCGCGAAATAATCTGTGACGCGTTTGTGTGTATTGTGTTTGTTTCCCGGGGAAACACTCACAAGAAACACCAGCTGTTGCTATGCCTGCTATGACTGTAATTAGGCCTTTTTTACAAGCTTAAAAGTTGTATTTATCATCTGAATTTGGTGAAACAAGTTTAATATTCTAAAAACCAAGACTTTATTGTTTATTTGAAATCAGATGAAAACAAACTGTCACGGACCCTGCCGTGTTATCTATGATTACTATACGCTTTTCATTCATAATTTCAGCGGGAGGGAGGGGGAGCGGCGCTGAGGAACAGCAGAGTGCGGGTTGACCGGTGCCTGTGTTGACATTCCCCTTATTGTGGAATAAGGTAGGCCATCCAGTTATTTTAGCCGGGCCGGCTAAAATGATTGCTCGTGCTTTTTACAGCGCCACGGCTTCCACAGATGACATTTTTGTATGGATTTTTTGTCAAAGCTCTTTAAGATATTCATTGCTATCGGGATGTTAAGAGCATTCCATGGAATATAACAAAAAGTGTATCTCGAGCCGGTTTCTCAAACTTACCTACCCCACCTTTAAATAACCTGTTTGTACATGCCACTTGTACAAATTAAATAACATTTCTGTGAACTGATATTTGTTTAGTGAGCTTATTAGAGGATATTCCCTGAAAGATTGTAAAATCTCGATGAAGATGTCAGACTTAGTATATTTCATAATAATTGCATACAATACATGGAATGTGTGTGTGAATGTGTGTGTGTGTGTGTGTGTGTGTGTGTGTGTGTGTGTGTGTGTGTATGTGTGTGTGTGTGTGTGTGTGTGTGTGTGCGTGTGTGTGTGTGTGTGTGTGTGTGTGTGTGTGTGTGTGTGTGTGTGTGTGTGTGTGTGTGGGTGTGTGTGGGTGGGTGTGTGTGTGTGTGTGTGTGTGTGTGTGTGTGTGTGTTCCAAGTGAATTTGCGGCCCCCTGGTGGCCAGTACATCAATTATGTGGCCCCCACCACCATCCAAGTTGCCCATCCCTGTATTAGAGGAACAGATGTAAGTCTACCCTGTCTTCTTATTGCTGTCATATTATTATGGGCTTTTCAGGCTCTCTCAAGAGAGCAGTTCAAATATACGGAGTAATACAAATCTCCTCTCTTTATAATATCAGTCGTTATTCTTGACGGCTATATTTTTATGGTCAATAAATCTCATGAAAACACCAAATCCAACAATAATCTCCAAGACACAGGCCTGTTCTCTACTGAAAGCACAAAGGTTTTTAGCAAACACCACTCAAGCATCAGTAAATAGTGTATTTGTTGGGGACTATTTCCCGGTGCTGTATTAGGTTTTTCCAGTAGCAGGATGGTGTACATCGCCTCAAAGTGCTCATGTTAATGGTAATGATGCACAAATTCCCCAGTGTAACAGTGTGGCTCGCTGATGTGTTTTTAAACGTTTTTGGAGAGCAATGAAGCGCTCAGAGACCAGAAGAATACAATGTGAATTTACAGCCAATATTCGTTAGTATACTAAGCCAATATTCATTAGTACAGTTGTACTTATAGCAACATAAAAAAAAGAAATTGTGACACAGCCAATCCAGAGCATGTGCACCATAGGGAGAAGAGTCTTACCTAGCATGCTCTTGTTGGGTTCAGACAGGCACATGTCCTTCTCAGCACTGGGCAGGACGAACCCCACCACAAAGATCTCCACGCCGTCTGCCATAAGTGCCAGCCCCAGCACAAAGTACAGGGTCCATTGGAACTTCCCGTGACCACACTCTTGTAAAATGGTCTCGTACTGTTGAGCCAGCTCCTCCTGGTCCTTCCTCCTCTCGGCCTCGGACACTCCGATGTCTCCTAACTGCTGAGCGCCGGCACTCACCGAGCCCGGTCCTCCAGCCAGGCTGCCTTTGCCAGATTCAGCCCGAGGGATTCCTTGGTACTCGCCCTCATAGATCTCATCATCCTCATCGTGACCCTCTGTGGAGTCACTGTGACCGCCCTCCTCGTCATTGGCCGCCTGGCTGTCTCCACGGTAATAGCCTCCGTCCTGGCTCCCCTGCTGGGGGTAGTCATCATCATCATCCTCTTCAAACCGGCTGTAGGAACGCTTGCTGTACTCGTCGGTCACCTTATCCACTGAGCGGCCGACCTTCTTGGATGCTTGCCGCTTGACCTCTTTGGCAATGTCTTTGGCGCCTTTTATGAAGGCAGTCCGGTTTTGGTAACCCTCCTCCATTTTAAAGAGGATCAGAAGATCAAAAAGTGGTCAAGGATTTAGGGGAGAGGCCACCTGAAGCTTCTGTGTGTTCAGGATACACCTCACAGATGTGTTGTCAATCACTGGACTGACCACAGGCTCTTGTTTTGTCTGGGGAGAAAATGGAAAGTCTTATTACTTTCATTCGGGCATGTAGTAGTAGTTTCATTAAAGGCACTTTGTTATCAAGGCATGGCATTACAAACTTCACATTTCTGGTGAGCCACTATAAAGTATAGGGGCTAGTATATGGGCCATGGGATTGGTTAAAGTGTATATAGAGTGGTTCAGGAATGAGTCTCCAAACCCAAATATCAGTTATAATTGTTGCACTATTAGTCCCTTATGTCGAAATAAATGTTTTTTTGTTGTGGGTTTTGGTAAGATGCCAGAAATTTGGTTTGTGATCTATACAAGCTAAAGAGATTTTGACGTTTCTTATACAACATGAATATGTCAGTAAAAACCCAACTATTGACTTGTGATTTCATATCTTCAAAAAGGCATTTGCTAACAAGGGGTTAAATGGGATGTAAGAGATTTTTAAGGACATTAAACGAAATTGTTCTGAACACTGGTCAGCCTTGAGCTTAGTGGTGGTTACGTTAAAATTACGTGAAAAAAAGTATATCTGCAATATCCAAAACCCAATGGAAATATCTCTTTGTTGTTTTGAAGAGGGAACAAGGGGCGAAGCTAATTTCCAGGCCCACAAAAATTAAGCATACCTGCGGTAGCTATTGAAATGAAATAGCATTTCTTCAAACAACACAAAGAAACACAAAGTGACTGGAAAGGGATGCAAAAGACAAAAAATAGAAGCAAGATAGGTACAAAGACATGCAAATTGATAAGAGCTACAACATGACTACAAAGAAAAGCAAAACTAACACAAGGAAAATTAAACAAGCATGTGTTGTTTGTAGTTGTTTTGTGTCTTTCTGTCTTGGTGTCTTCTACAGGAGGGTGGTTTATGCCTATTACTGTCCAGACATGTCTTTCTCTTTGAACTGATGGTTCTTCTTTATTCATTGAGATAACCAAACCACCTAATCAGCCTTTGATGCCGTGCTTCCAGACTACACCTGTTGCATTTCCATATCTGCCCAGCATGTGTTTACTGCTGAGTCACTGATGGTAATAACGGGTCGAGACATCAAGCCCTGAATGGTCAGAGTGATTTTTAATGGATTTCAGTTGGTGAAGACATTAATGAATAAGAGCTACAGTACGTGACTGTGACTCAAATGCAATGCACCAAATATAATGCTCAAATGATCAATGAAGGCCTAACAGATCAACACATATTAACCTCTCCTTTATTTGTCCTTAAGACTGCTAAAAAATCCTGCCCTGAAATGTGAGTTTTTGAATTACTTAGGAATAGAAAATGCATTAACCATGTTGAAGAAAAACCAATAGGTATATTTAGATATTTAGATTAATCAAATAAAGGCATTTCTTAATTTAAAAAGGGAACAACGGAGCCGGAAATCTGATGTCCATTTTAACTGTCTGCTGCAGTATCACATCTCATTTTGAAGAAAATAAGCCACTGACTCGTGTAGTTCACTGACAATAACCACATCCATATGCTGCTATATGAGGATGCTGTGAACCAATGTCATTTTGATATTGCGGTGCAGGGAAACAACAGACCCAGAATGAGGGGCTCACTTTGACCCCTGTTTCAAAAATGAGGTCTGACAGGTAATAATGTGTGGACAGAGCTTGAAATGTCTGCCAGGTATAAAGTATATACAGGGCCGGCAACAGGGTCTCATAAATACTGAAGCCAGAGGTCATCCACAAAAAGAAACCTATAAAGATGTTCTGGTATCTCCTGATGTGCTTGTCTAAACTCTACTTTAAAGCCTTTCTCAACATTCCCACAATATAATGATGAAAGAGTAAATCCCATCATATTTTTTATAATTTCAATATTCTTGAAGCGAAAAAAACATTTTAATCGACCTTTCAAACACAGTATGAGCAATACAGAATTACATAACTGTTCTTTAGGTTGTTGAAACGATGAACATAAACCGATACCGAATGCATGAAATCAATGTCCTCAGTGACAGCTCCTGGGTTTTCCTAAATAATTGCCTGTTTGTTGATGATTGTGTTTGATCATACTGAGAAAATAATGTATTGCCTGTTTAGCGGTTCAAATTATAGTTCCTGCAAAAGGCAGACATTATAATAGTAGGTTTGATTAAAAAGATGCATCTGCATCTTGGTCAACGCACAAAGGTTTGATTTGTTTATGTTAAATTAAATTCAAACATCATCCCTAGTAGTCACAGATCCTTCCCCGTCCGCATGATGAGCGTATTTACTGGCACAGACCAAAAGCAGCCCACAGGCCTGGTCAGCCCGGCTAAACTGTCGGACACTAACCTAATAATGACTCAGACTTGTGCACTTACAGGCCTGTAATAACTGTCCCATACAAACAGAGCTCTGCTGGGCCTTTCACACAGCATGCATGTCTGTAGGCAATAAGAAAAGCTTAGGTGTTACTATTAACATTAAGATAAGGGTACTACAATATAACCAATATACAGATTCAAACCATTCAGATATCAGTCTTTATGTTTTCTACTTTAATTTGACTGCTAACATGAAATGCTTTGAAGTAAACATAATGGAACAAAATAAAGATATTAGTTTGAATCTTCTTTCTTTCCCCTCCTTCTTCTTTTTTTGTACTCCTTTCCCATTATTATATAGATGGGGTTTAGTCTAGCAAGTATAATTGAAATCAACTGCATGAGTACAGGACCGTTTTTGCCCAATATGGAGTATAGCTATATTAATCACCAGAGGACAGAGCACCAGCTAAAACAATCATTCTCTGTATGTGTATTAACAACATCTCTTTACATTCATATAATGTGCACAGACGTACAGTAGAAAGATAGATAGATAGATAGATGCACTCTATACAAAGTACTGAATCCTTTATGCAACAGGTCACCTACAAATGCACTCTTCTCATAACCCTTGTTATTTCCTCTTCACAAAGACACTAAAGTGCAAATGCGAACACTAGTCATATCCAAATAAACGCTTTAAAGCCACTTTTCTCCTCTCGGCCCTGTTGTCAAGTTGACAGCATCTCCACAGCCCCATGCAGCTCTGCCTGTGATGAAGAGCAGGGAGAGGATGAGGAAGATGGAGCTAAGCTACCCTCTGATTTTTGTGTCCTTATTTTCTCCCCCATTCAAAAATCGATCAGCATAATTTGACCACTTCCTTAGTGAGGCCAAGCAGAGCAGATAGCCATCCTTTCACATGCATGCAAGCTAGAGGGCTTTCTATCCGAAGAAACGTCGTAGGCCTAATGATTAATTTGGACATGAAGATAACATTATAACGACATTTATAACACAAATCGTTCTCCAAATAAAATGATCTTGCATGTCTTTTTATGAAATGATCATATTTGTGCTGTTTTAATGTCTTTTTTAATGTGTTTTTCAGAAGCAGAAATGACACAGAAGGGGCAGCAAGAATGTGGATTCCAAAGTGTAATCAAATATGAGCCAATTTGAGCCTCCACTCCAGTCATAATCATTGATGTAAAGAAGAAGGGGAAAAAGGCCTTGTCGCTAACAGGCCAATTTATACAGCCCACAAATAGGACCGGATTAAATTATAAATAGCAGCCGATTGTCTTGCATCCTGACATCTGTGCTCATTCTTAGAAAGCACGGTGCCGACATCTCGTCACGATTTGGATTAGATTATAGGGCCGCGACTCGATTCACAAAATCGATCTTTAACTGCTGTGTGAAGCAAACGGTTGCAGATCACGCCCATCGTCTTTTACCGAGGATGTCTTAATGCCAAAAAATAAAACATATAAAACGCTTTAACACGACATTGGCCGCTAACAGCTAATTATCAATCCCGCTCACCTTTATTCCTGCGATGTGGAGCCTCTTCAGCCGGAGATGTGGAAGAGGAGGATGAGGGTGATGGTGCGTACGAGTCTGTTTCCGTAGACGGAGTGATGGTGATGATGCTGTGCGGGTTGGAGGAGAGACAAGCCCACGCCAGGCATCCACACACACTCAGTGATGTGCAGGGGTCCCCTCCCCCATGCAAACCCTTTATGAGAACATTAACGCCTTCATATCTGGAGGGGTTTGGCGCATATCTGCACACAATCTGCGCACATTTCCTCCACTTCCCTCGAGCCATTGCCCCTTTAAGATGGTGCCATTGTTTTCATCTTATCTTATGTGTCTGTGTGTACCATGTTAGGAAACACTAGATCAGTATTAAATACACTATATGCATGTGCACCCTGGCACGCATGCGTGCTCTATTTCCATGCATCTGTTTTACAAATAGATGATTGTCTGTACCATAGGTCTGTACGCATGAAGATCAAATTGTGTGCACAGACTATATACACACGTGCAGGCACACCTGACTCCTGTTGCCATGCCAACCACTTGCCATTTTCTTGATCCTTTCTACTGCACAAAGACCTGCTCGTGAAGAAACGTGAGCTTTCCACACAGACTGTCTGATGTCATCCCCATTCAAATAAAATGTCTCCATCGATGTGAGATATTTATTTTTAGTTGTTTGTATTTGTCACATTCCTCAGGCTGTGCAATGTGCAGCAGGACAGAATAATAACCAGCCGTGGAGTCTTAAAATGCTTCCATTAATTTAGATTAGGTTGAAAGTTTAAGGATAAAGTAATTTGACATTTCTAATTTCTGTTTATTACATTGCATTTAGCTGACACTTTTATACAGAGCAACTTACAATAAGTGCATTCGACCAAGAAGATACAAACTTGAAGAAAACAGAATCATATAAGTACATTAGGTTTCATAGAGCCAAACCATGTTAAGTACTCAACTGGCTTTAGATAAGCCAGTCCTTTGTTAGTATACGTGCTTAGTTAGTATACGAGTGCTTTGTTAGTCATGTTATTGCTCGAAGTGCAGTCGAAAGTGATGAGTTTTTAATCTGTGCCGGAAGATGTGCAAGCTATTACTTGAGTCCCCGTCGCAGTGAGGGTGCAGCGAGCCGTTTGGCTGATGCAGAGCGGAGTGTACGTGATGGGGTGTATAACCATGGATGTAGGAAGGGCCAGAACCAATCACAGCATGGTACGCAAGTACCAGTGTCTTGAAGTGGATTCTAGCAGTTACTGGAAGCCAGTGAAGGGAGCGGAGGAGCGGAGTGGTGTGGGAAAATGTAGGAAGGTTGAAGACCAGACGAGCTGCTGCATTCTGGATGAGCTGCAGAGGTCAGATGGCACATACAGGTAGACCAGCCAGGAGGGAAATGCAGTAGCGTGAGATGACGAGAGCCTGGTCCAGAAACTCCAAGTTCTTGGAGAGTGCGAAGGAGGATCTGATGATTCACCGTGTCGAATGCAGCAGACAGGTCCAACAGGATGATGACAGAGGAGAGGGAGGCTGCTTTAGCAGTGTGCAGTTCCTCAGAGACAGCAAGGAGAGCAGTTTCTGTCGAGTGGCCTGCCTTGAAACAGATCAAGAAGGTTCTGGTATAAGAAAAAGCTTTGACTTGTCTTACGAGATTAAAGCTGGTTATCCTCAATGGTTTTGTCGGATCATGAATAGAATAGAATCGGAGGGATGAAGCCCTCTTTAATGGTCACACATGCAGAGCACACAGCCCACACAAACATTTGGCCTCTGCGTTTAACCCATCCTGGTACTAGGAGCTGTGGGCAGCTATTGCACAGCACCCGGGGAGCAAGGGGGGTGTCCGGTGTGCTCAAGGGCACTACGGCAGGGCAAGAGGTGAACTGGGACCTCTCCATATGCAGTTCACACTCCATATTTTAGGTCTGGTTGGGGACTTGAACCGGCGACCCTACAGCTCCCAGTCCAAGCCCCTACTGACTGAGCCACAATCAGAATACCCTTAAACATCTTCTTATTACAGACACATGCATTTCCTAACATTCGGTCTATATGCTGTAAAATGTATTATCTCTTCGATTTACACACGGCATCTATTGCACGTCTGTCCGTCCTGGGAGAGGGATCCCTCCTCTGTTGCTCTCCCTGAGGTTTCTCCCATTTTTTTCCCCTTAAACTGTGGGTTTTCTCTGGAAGTTTTTCCTTGTACAATATACTGATATTCTGAACAATCTGTGCTGTTGTATTTGCTGTAAAGTGTCTCTACTGTAGGCTATTTTTATTATATGTACAGCACTTTGGCTCGACCAAAAACCGTTTATAAATGTGCTATATAAATAAAACTTGATTTGATTTGAAAAAAATTCACTTCATTAAAATTATATATATTGGATGGGCCTAGTCATCCCTAATAGCAAGTAATGGAAAGCAAAAATAATGTAAACATGTAAACAGCATTCATACTAATAGTTAAAATAGTACAACTTATGCATTATAAAGAATCACCACGCTAAAGGGCTCATTTTAGAAGGTTATAAATAGCATAATGTTGAACGCTTAACATTTTATCAGCATTCAATGGATATCTTAGCTTTTATTGAATTGTTTTACATTCTTTTTTTCTTCATGTTGACATTTGTTGTATTTTCATTTTCTATTCTCTTCTGTCTTTTTGTTTGTTTGCTTGCTCCTGAAGTTGAAGCAAGGTCAGTAAAAGCCCATAGCGTCTTGACCCTCCCGACACATTTCTTGTTTTTTCATTATCTGGAATTGATGCAGTCTTGTGTGTGCGGATTAAATAATTTTTTAGCCGATCTAAGATGGATATTATATACACAAAACATAAAATATGAAAGGACAACTACATTTGACATAATTAGTCATTATATGCAAAGTGGTATTAATTATAATTATGGTTGCCCCGAACCGTTCTTTATAGCCACTATGAGATCAAAACTGACACGTGTCATATATGTTAGTCATATGTGTCAGTTCTTGGAACCAAGACAGAGGGATATTTGTAAATGTAATTGCCTTATACAACAGCGGACATTTTCACTCAGTATAGGGCGGAAAAATACAAATGGAACCCAAAATTACTTTGGTTTCAACCCTTAAGAGTCACGAGAGGAAATGCCACCAAGCAGACAGGGACGCATGGCGTGTCAAAATGGCTGCTATGAAGAAGCATTTTATTATGATATTAACCACGCAGACGAAGATGTTCATATTCATGGGTTAAAAAACTACTTTTCAAAATGTGTACTAAAAAAATTTATTCATTGAAGGTCTTCATCTGTACAATGACCACAAAAAAAAAATACATAGACGGGATTAAATTATTCTCACTATTACAAACTTGAGTAGATCTTAAGAGGTATTAAAAAATCAAAATGAGAGCCCGTTTCTGCAGCCTGTAATGGATTATGGTGGCATTGGTGCTCTCATAGGAACGCGGGGCGGGACACCGGGGGGCCTCGGGGGCATCGGGGGTCCTCTCTGGAAGCCAAAAGGAGGACGAGGAGGAAGGCCAGCGCCGTAGCCTGGTGGAGGCATGGGAGGAGGGCCTCTCATCCCTGGAGGCACCGGGTGACCTGGGAGAAGAAGAGGGAGGGTCATAACATGGTAAAATATTCATCTCTGATTATATGCTACTATAGCAGACTCTAAGGACATAATTCATCATTGTCTGTGGTTAAACACTAGCAAACAATGAATGTGCCTTTCTATGTTTTATCTTCTCACAGTAACAGTTGGACAGGGTCAGTGTGTTACTATGGTCGTATAGCAATCCATAGTCCAGGTATTATTATTAGCCGGTAAATAAACAATACATTGTGTAGTCAATGACAGAAGTTGTTCGTCTCTATTTTTCACGACTTTTGCACTCTCACCAAAGCCAACGGTAACCATAGTTAACAATATGCGTTAGCATCATTAAATGCAGAGGTTTTGCACTATGGTGGATAATGAACAGTTTGACACATGGGGCAAAACAGTTTTCAAAACCATCATTATAACAGCTTTTATCCCCTTCCAATCTAGGAAACCAGACAGGACTGAACCGGACTGTTTGGCCTATTGCTCCATGTAGATTTTCTCGAGAACTGCTAATGCTAACAATGTCACACTTGACACAGCACTTCCTTTGGTCCTGAGCAATACACCTTCCAGAATATAGCTGCATCCCCTAGCACATGGATAGTATGGAGGACAAGCTGTACTCCGTGTTACTGTAGCAGTGTTGGAAATTAACTTCATGCTCCCTTTTTATTTTAACCAGCCACAATTTCATCACACTTTTGTGTTACTAACTTTTTTTGGAAAACATTTTTCCCTAAAACAAAAACACAAAAGGTCCCCTATTATACTGTTTTTCATCAATATATTATAGGTCTCAGATATATATACAAAACATGTCTCTGAAGTGTTTGGCTCCAAACACCAAACAGATCATTGCAGCATCCCATAATCCCCTCTGTTTCAAAAGTGCTGATTCTCTGTCTGTTACTTCAGATGAAAATAAGGAGCCCCTCTGAGAGATATTTGGTTAAAAAGAACACAATGGTGCTCGAGGAGGGGACTCAGGTGATAAGGTGGGGGGGGTGTTACCTTGGTTGGTGATTGGCTAATGGTTACACAACCCAAAAAAATCGTTATGACATCATAAAGTGGCCAAAATCTATTCAGCTCATTTTCAGACAGGTTTTTATAGAAATGGATCAGGACAAAAAGAGAGTGAATCTTTTTCCTGAAACTTTCAGCATTTCTTTACACAGAGGGGACACGTGTTTATGAGTAAAAGACATGAAAAAGTGGATTTTGCATAATAGGTGACCTTTAAGAACTGCTTGTGATTCCACCAGATTTAGCACAGATTATTCCAGAAACGTTGTGAACCGATTCAAGCTCGGAAGCATATCTTATAAAATAGTATCATACCAGTAATACAATCATTTGTACAGCAAACCTCTAACCAATATGAATGATTATCAGGTATTTCTTTCCATCAACACACCTACAGATCAGTAGTGCCAGAAAGGCAATCCAACTAGTCCACTGCACGCCACAGTGTGTGAGAGCGATCTAACAAAATCTGATCTATATGATATACATTTTCAGTAGGGCCGGGACTCGATTAAAAAAATTAATCTAATTAATT